AGGTTTCCTTATTCTGGGTGCATACGCTTCTTCTCAATGCCTATATAAGGCATCAAGCATTTGGAGCAAATTGCAATTGATTCAGCAATCTACACACTTGAGAAAAATCATACATAGAGAGGAAAGATTCAAGAGAGTATTTTTAGTCTATATTTGAGAGATTATCTTTGTTCTCATGATATTAGAGAACTTCTTGTACTCTCCTATTTCTACATAGTGGAATTATCTTGCTCTTGATCGCCCGTGGTTTTTTCTCCGTCTTTGGAGTTTCCACGTAAACTTGGTGTGTATTTATTTTTCTTGTCTCTCTACTTACTTCTCTCTATCTCTAATTAACTTGATCCAGTGCTTCCGCATTCCGCTCATTCTTTCTGATACCCAACAAGTTTATATACACACAGTTATCTCCATTGGTTGAGAGGCCTTTTGGGTGATGTCCAACAGCAAAACCGTGAGGGCTTAGGCCCAAAGCGGATAATATCTCACCAATGTGGAGACATGTGTATATGTGGTAACCCCCCTAGTACACAACAATTCTGGTAAGCAAAGGTTTCTAAAGTAGGCCATGGATAGAGGCTACCTCCTATTTCAGTTTATTTCAAGCACAATTAACCATGTGGATGATATGCACTTCAAAAAGCAAAGATTAATGTGCCAAAAAATATAACAAGGAGTTGAATTTCACATGGTGTTATTGCAAACATTTCCACAAACACTTTGCATGCAACTCTCAATTTGAAGATTTTCAAAAACACTTGGAATCAAGCCTCATCCATATTCGTTCACCAACGCACAACAAGCATGAAGAACAGATTCAATCAGCATTAAACAACCAAGACACGCAAACATGAAGGCTCCCATTATCCTCCAAGAGGAAGAAGAAATGCGAGAGTGAAGAAGAGGAGAAGAATCTATGGCAAAGTTTACGTTTTTATGATTAAAGAGGTGACAAGAGAAGAAAAGTTTACTTTTAGAAATGTATAAGGATCTTCTATTAGCAAAGAGACTTGTGAGAATGAGAACGAGAGTAGAAGAAAATGGGAAGGGTTTAGAGGTTGAGAGCAAAGAGAGTGACGAGAAGTGTATTCGTAACTTGGAAGTGGAAAACGGGTCTTAAAATAACTTGGAAAAATTAGGCATTTGAACCCGGGGCTGCACCTACAATGGTGGCAGAGATATTGAGCTTGGGCTTTGGAAATCAGAGCTGCAGCTACGTTTTTTTTTTTTTTTTTTTTTTTTTTTTTTTTTCTCTTG